GAGTACTTCTCCCAAAAGGTGCCTCTCGTCAACACTCTCGACGACGCTAGGAAGAAAGAGCTACTCGCATTCGTCACCGTTCTCAAACGGTGGTGCCACTTTATTCTCGGCCATCGGCGTTTTAAATGGAATACGGACAACAGTCCGTTGACCTTTTGTAAAACACAGGAACCTTTTGTAAAACACAGGATACGGTCACTAGCACGATCGGTCAATGGATGTATTACATCGACCAGTTCGACTTTGMCCCGTGCCACATTCCCGGTCCCGCCAATCGAGCTGCGGACGCCCGCTCACGACGGCCCGATTTTTGTGCCATCGTGACCACGGCATTCGACCTCGATGACGATCTGCAGCCGCATTTCGTCAAAGGCTACATGTAGCGGACCCACCAGGTGTGGTGCTCCGCTAGTGACAGAGATGGAGATGGAGGAAGAAGGGGGAGCAAGATGGCACAACGCAGCTCCCCACGCAAGACTCCAACGCACGTACTCCAAAATGTGCAAGTGAGGAATGAGACTGAAAACAGACAATGGCTGGGGTATACCCCAGCGGATTGACGGGATTGGACTGGACTGGACTGGCTGGTACCGACAGAGGTACCGGCCTGGACTGGGCTACCCCGAATATAACACATGCCTGTGAGAACAGGCCAAGGGGCTGGTCTCACAGGCCAACCCGAGGTCCGCTACACGATCCTCGGCCTGTGATGGATSGCCTAGATACAAATATGCTTCCGCCAAGAAGCGGAACTCTACCAAAGAAAAGAAAACCTGAGTAGTCTAGGATGCGGAGCAAGCTCCATGYTGAGTCCATGCGATGCAACCTAGGATATAAAATGTCACAAAACAACAATGTCACAGCTAACAGCCTAAGTGAAAGTAGGAGCAACTAACTAACATACATGTCCTAGGAAAGCAAAAAGGAGTGACAACTTGATCCTAGAATGTTGGAGGCACTAGCCTCAGTCTGGTAACAACTGACTAGTGTATAAGTCCTAAGAACAGCAAAAGTAGAACAACTAAATCCTAGAAATGTCGGAGGCAGTAGCCTCAGTTTGAGAGCAACAAAGCAATCAACAAGACAACCATATGTCACATGAGAAGTGTGTCGCACACCAAAGGGTGGGATGGTCTCTGAGGGTGGCGAATGCAGCCTAGGGGTCGAAAACTCCTAAGGGCATCCACACATAGTGACAGGGGAAAACACATGTCATCAGGCTCAATGAGGGTAGGGTATTGGGAGCGAACAGAACCAATGACCCTAATAGATAGACCATCAGGGCGGGTAATGCTCGACTAAGGGGTGACCGCTATGGAGGGTCGACCATGCAAGGGAACAAGGGAGCCTGG